CGTATCATCAGGGGTTAGAGTGCATTTCTATGGGCCTTTTCTTGATTCCGAATTGGAATTGATCACCTTTACCTCAAGGTATTATTCAACTTAAGGCTTGCTGTGAAAATTACCAATTGCCGAGCTCAGGAGTACTGTATTTTAAAGCGTTGCTGGTAGGATTTGCAACAACATCCGCACGATAAGCTTGAAAATAGACTGCGTCGCGTTGAAATTGAGATTCGTACTCCTTCACAGCTCCTCAATCTTGAATAGATAATGCTTGTTCCCGTCTTGTGAATAATTTGGAAAAAATCACTTGATTTTAGGGTAGGAAACTTAGTATCGTCTGTCTTGTCAGTTCCCATAAGACCTTTCATTTGACCATCGCGACTTCTTCGAAAGGTTCACCTGGCCTCATTGGAAACACTAAGCGATTGACTTCGCAAAAATAATGGTGCATCCTTCTCTTCTGAGTGAGCCATTTGGATTAGGGTTAGTGAAGCGTCACGAGACTTCCCACCAGAAAGAAGAAGACATTGAGCTGGACTAAATATATGTAATCGAGGGGGAAAAGAAGGGATTAAACCTTGGCTTGGCCCAATGGCCAGTCCGCGTGTGCAAAGACCAGACGAAAACCAAAGTAACCTTTAGAGATCAGGTGGTCATATGAAGGAAGTTTTACAGTTGGAGTTTGTTTCATTGAAATCACGTATTGCTTCCACGCTGTCTACAGGAAAAAGCTCCTTTGATCAGCACAAGGCCAAGAGTAATGTCTAACCTGACAGTATTACGTTTGTAATAGTTCGTCTATGTGACCAGCTGTATGTTTGGCAGTCACTTTGGTATTTGTGTTGTTCTTGCACGCGTGGGCTGACCTTCGGGCCAAGGCAAAGCGCAACTTAATGCCTTCTTCTACCTCATGGGAATGTTGTTCACGATAAGGATATTTGAGAATTGAATCTCACCGCTTAATCACTAAAAATGATTAACTTTACCGGGTTTTGTACCCGAACGTCGAAGTTTTCGTTTTATTGGTTTTGAACAAGGGCAGAGACTTTCTTGATAATATGTACATGTTTGGGAAACTAATTTGCTGAATGTCATGCCGTACCATGTACTAAGTTCATCGCTAGAGAAATTCATTTGTTGCACTTCTCGCGTTTTTACACAGAGGCGAACATTGAGTTTGACCTGAGAACTGGGGCGACTTGGGTTAACGAAGAGAAGTCATGCTGCTCTCTGGTTTGGATCTCAAACGCGCATTCTTTATTCTGACGACAGTACTACCGTCACTCCTTTTATGTACGGCAATAGGGGGAGGAAGTTTAATTCCGTAAGGTGGAGCAGCCTTTGAAATTGCCTGTAAGCAAAAGGGCTAGCACGTTTCCTTGCAGTGAAATTTTTCTCTTGATCTTCTACAGATGCCGTAAAATTTAACCGAACTAATATTCCATCGCCTTTGGGATGTCGTTTAGAAGTGGCTAAATGAAAAAATCTGTGAAAGCCTGTCGTGGGGATGCGATTTCGATAATCCACAATCTAAGTAGCGGCACATGAATTACTTTTGGATCTTCATTCTGTTTTACGTCGGATTTGGATTCATAAATACACAAAGAAGAAAAAGGCTGAGGAGAGTGCAAGTTGGGTGAATTTATAAGGAAACAGTCACGATTGAAACAGCGCTCTTGCGAGATAACTCTTGGAGACTTCCAGGATGCAACGGACTTCGGTTCTTCTGCAAATATGAAGTTGGTATTATGGGCGCAATGGATATTTCCGTAGAAACATAAGTTTTCATCGTCAATGTCCATTATACTTGTAACTATCATTTTTTTATTGACTCACTTTGTCAGATAAGAGGTTTATTGCATTTTTAGGTCATCAGTCACATCACTAGATATCATGCCAACCGATTCTGCAGTTCATAGTAGCACCGTGGCTTTGCTGTGCGCAGCTCTGCATATTTCACGTGAGCGTCGCAAAACCAAATTCATTCCATAAAGCACCCTGTTCTGTAGAGCACACGCCTTGCCTGGCACGTCAGAAACTGCAAAAACACTGCCTCGGATGGGCTTATAGCACCGAGAGCAAAGCACTCGCAACTCTGAGTTCCTAACCAACGTGTTGGCTTAGGCCTTACCGTTACTGGCTCTATATCGCGGGTGAATCAATCCTTCTTCGACATCTGCCGGTTCATTATCTCCTAGAGATTATATTAGTGTAAATTGCACAAAATTAATATTATCTAACCATTATAAATTACAGCGGTGGGAAGGTAACAGTTCGACCTTAATTTGGAAGTCGATGAGGTGTCACCTGATTGACCTTTGTATGAACTCACCTAGACGTTGGGCAGCTTTCACATCATTCAACTAATTTACCAGCTAAACTGCTCAAAGTTTCCCTTTTTCAAAGTTAAGTTTCTCGTTCATCCAGGAATTCAAGCAAAATATTTGAAATATTTTGACGATTTGGAAACCTGTACGAGAACAGCAATGCGGAATATTGAGGGAAACCTTGGTGATCAGTCTTAGGGTAAGCACCCTAAGTGACCAATTTAGCGATAATCAGGCGTTTTTACATTGTGCTTTGATCAGCACCGATCAATATGAAAACAAAAGTCCGAAGAGGAATGATGTTATTCCCTTGCATGACAATAGGCTGTACAGGCGGTATCTTTATCTCACGAAGTCTTGGCAGTTGACGAACGGTTGGTTTTAAACTGTGAAACTATGCCATGTTCATTTAGTGACATGAACAAGTTGCAGGGACTGATCTTATAATTAAACCTGTATACTGTAGGAACTAATCGTAAATAAAAGTGATTTCATTCAAAGCGCCCAGAATCAAAGCAATTGCACTCGAGGCAGATGGACCCTTTAGAGAATAGCAACACTTGTGCTAGCCTATTGCCATTTGTCAATCCTAAGACAACACCATCATGTTCCATTTGCCAACTGCTTATGTAGGTAATTAAAAAGCATTTCTCGAATACAATCAGCCTTGTGCTGGTACACCCAGGGCTTTTGAGATTTGCTCTAAAATCAAGAGTTCGGGATGCTTACTTGTACTTCCTACCCACACGTCACACTTTCCATCAAAAATTACACCAAATATTCGTGAATTGAGCCATGCAACTCAGGGTTTCATGGACCTCCTTCAAGAGAGATTTCCTCATACTTGATGCGGTACATGGTGATTCCGATCATTAACCAATGTGGCTGTACATCTATTCTTGGCTATAAAATTAATTGCTGGACTAACCGCCGACGCAAAACAAGACAAACCAGATTTACCTAGGTAGCATTTACATGAGCGGCAAAATGGCCATTTTCTTCCAAAGTAGCCATTAGCTACGATGGTTGGAGCATGACCCTTGTCCTATGATCGCTGCTGTCGGTGGGACAGTTGGGTGTCAAGGCACTAACCAAGTGTGTGTGTGGACGAGACAGCTGTGAAGCAAAATTTTCCAATGCGCTCGTTAAACGTACAAGTAAGAATTTACTCAAAATGTAGCAAATTTGATCTGATTTGGCAATTTTCTACGTTTGCTTTAATACCGAACCCTCGTTGCTTAGCCTTTTGATACTGACTTACTTGAACTGTAACGGCAACCAAGTCTTTAACGTGCAGGATTCTGCTATATGATGTCAGTTTTTAGTGCATAGAGATGAAGGTAGTACATAACGCAAGGCAGTCTTGACCCACGTTACGTTAGCAAGTGTGCTTAGTAAGTTAGAACGGCACTGCACCGGAATGTATCGATTGTGAATGAATTACAAAAAAATAGAACCTTATTTGGCAAAACTGCCGAACGGCAAAAAGTACCAAGGCCAGAGATTCAGTCAGACTGCCGTTGCATTTCCATTTGGGTGTAGTTTTATTTCAAGAGTATGGAATATTAAAATTATAGATTCCTGGACCTACTAACACTCAATTACAGTGCAGAGAACCAGTATCTAGCACGATATTTGGTACATTATTAACACAGTAATCTTCAAGCTTGGGTAACGATTCCGCAGAACAAATTAGATTGCGTTACAAGAAGCAAAAGAAAAACATCCGAGACAAGTAGAGACTCGCGCGCAATGTACTTCGGTAAGCATTGAGAGACTGTCAGATTATCTGCAAACATACGGGTGTAAAAAGGATTGCACGCATACAACAGTGCAACAACTGTCACCACTTCTCTTGAAATAAGAGATCGCCAACAGCAATTATGCTGAAACTGCCACCCTTATTACTGGCAGCAACCAAAAGCACATGAAGCTAAGCATTACGAGTTACAGCTGATTGTGCAACGCAAATCTCCCACAGATCACATCAGTAAAATGATGATCGCGGATGAGTGAAGTCATATCCGATTTATGGAAAATGGAGAGTCCCAACCAGAACCAACTTCCTAGCCTAAAAGACGTGCAATCTGAGCTCAACTACAACGGTAGAAATCACTTTACAATTATGAGTGATGATTACGGCACCTTCCATTTTTTCAACAAAGTAGCAACCTTCCAAACGACTTCAGAGAATCCCCCCCAGCTCACTTCCAATACATTTAATAATAGCATATTCAAGCAGCCCATATAACACCACCATTGAAAGACGTTAGAAAATGACCAATGCTCGGAGCGACAAAATTCTTCATGGCAAATGAGACCATATGCAGCGTTCCTATCGCGGTACAATGTGGATTTAAGAGAAAGAGGTAACGAACAGGAATGACGAAAATAAGGCATGAGTTTAGGGGAAACGTTTATTTATTCTAACCAATGTTTATTTATTTTGCAAGAGACGAGTGTTAGCATAGTTTGACCATACCAGCACCTTAATGAAACTCATAAAACTTTCTTTGATCCTTTATTAAGAGGAGCGCCTTTATCCTTGCCACGAAGTTTAATCCCAAGGGCACGCTCCAGCTTGCTAAGGATAGTTTGGTTAGGAATCGCCTTTCCTTGTTCATACTCAGCAATAACCTTGAGTGGTTGCGCAAAATCCAAGTATTACACTTACCTGAGGTTTCTCATTGATTTTTGTAGCAAGTTCTTTTTGAGTAAGATTGGCGTCTTGCCTTCCTTGCATAATCAACCGTCCGACATCGGGAGAGATCGTAGCGTGGTGGAAGTCTTCAGTTTCCTCATCAAGCTTGTTAATGTTTTTAGGATTAGTATGTTGTTTATTCGAACCAGCAGCCCACTTCTTTTCTGTCTGAATTTCTATGCCTTGTCGAGCTGCGGCACTTATCGTCTAACCACGTAATAACACCCACCATGAACGTACCGCGTTGTCCCTCAGATTGACAGGACGAACACTCATAGTAGTCACTCCTTAATCCAGCATACAAATGTAATCTGCTTACTGATTGGAGGTGTCGGCTTAGTAAAACCAATCGCATCTCGGCTTTTTTAAGACAGGCGTTGCCAATGATTGCAAATCACAAATGTTGAAAAATATCCTGGAAAAAATTACAACCAGAAAAATTAAAATTAAAAAAACCAGAAAAGTTTTTTGGAATGAAACTGTTTATATTTTTAAATTGTTTAATGTGCTTTTTATATAAACAATACAATGCGCTAGCAATAAATCTCAATTTGCAACAA